TTCACACTGGCACAGATATGCGACCTGTATGCGTTCTGCAGTCTGAACGGGCAAACGACCTGAAAGTGTCCCGCATGCGCAGTAGAGGGCGCCATAGCGTCAGCGTTCTCAGTGTTCTGCCAACCGCCATGAAAAGAAGTGCTCAGTGTTTAGTAAACATGGAGGCTAACGGTGGAGCTTAGCTTACATATTTGAAGTTATACACCGGAGCAGCATATTAACAACTTAATCCTCATTATAGTCCGTCATAGTTGTTTTTCTTCCCACTTGCGCAATCAGGACGCAGAATTTGTTTAGTATCAGTGACGTTCAGTTCGGATGAATGCGGCCTGGACGTTAGGTCGCAGTTGTATCGGATAGTATCGGATATGGGTCACATTTCAGACCGTTATGAAAAGATCAGACACAGGTCGCAATACGTCAAAAAAAAAATCGGAATTGGGTCAATTTATTCTGCAGTGTGAACACACCGTAAGTTTATTCCACATGTCCTCGCTCTTGTTCTAAGTTTCACATTAGTTTTTAGCCAGCTAGCAACGTATGGAGAACGTCTGACGCGTGACGTCGTCATTCGTGACGCTTCTACTTGTCACAACAGCGCGGCGGATGACAAGCAGCCCAGTAGCAGTCGCCTTTCTCTGCGTTTGATCGTGTATTTGTTAATGGTAGAAAATACTGGAATGGCGACTCCAGGGAAGGGGAACTGGCACCGGACTGTTCCATCATCCACCACACTATTGTTACAAGCGTACTGTGCATGAAGTCAGTGTAGCTTAACCAGGCACGAATGTCAGCCATGACGAGGAACGGCGGGCGGGACTTCCTAGAGGTCCGCTCACCCTGTGGGCCGCACTAATATTATACTTTCATATCACGGTGGGGGCCACGAGACATAGTTCTGCGGGCGCGAGAATGAGACCTCTGCTTTAGACTGAGGGATGAGGTTCGACTCCCACCAGGAAAATGACACAAAATTACAGCCTGAGCTAAAATAGAATGGTGAACATTACAGCATCGTCAGACGGTTGAACGACGAGTTCAAGGATGACGTTCACAGATGCTTTGCCTCCAATCTGTCTGAGCTTTGTTGTGAAGAAGAATCAGCAAATCATTCTGTCTTTATGCTAGTAAATCTGGTAGAGATGTACCACAAAAGACAAAAAAAGGGCTCTGAATACAAATGCACATCTTAATGCACCACTTCGTGTTGGTTGTCGCATGAAATCCCAATGGTAGGAGTATAGAAACTGTCGAACGGCGCTACCTCCTAGGACTGGACACATTCCAAGTAATCTGCAGCTTTAAGTTGAATCGTCAGGGTGGGGCAGAGGCAGCGGGAATCCCCCTCACCTCTCGAAAACAGGCAGTTCACATTTAATGAGGTCAAGCTCCGGACACTGACCGCCTCATCAGCAGGAGTCCACAGGAGCGTCTTCACAGGCTACACTGAATGAGCGAGCCTGCTTTCTCTGCCAGTGTTAAGAGGCGAGGGAGGAGAGAGTCCATTCTCTGGCCTCAGAAAACTGGCCCGGATTCAGATTTGCTGAGTTGTTTTGGTTAACTTGTCGGGATCGGTTTTCTGCTATGTGGAGGGTCTGAATGGGTTGCACTTCTTTTCCGCTGCGTTGCAGCTTTGATCTTTTTCCTCGGTTGCCGTCAAGCTGTCAGAGTTTCACATAAATACAGCGTCACATAAACACTCGGCCCGGTTCAAACATCATCTGGAAATTATACGTTTGCATCAGCTTCCTTTTCTTTCTTTTACTCTCGATTACGCGATGAAATACAGCAGGGATGCAATTGGGACCTGCTGATTGCAGGGTCACGTTTCGTGCAGCTGTTTTGCAGAGTCGACGCTTTCGCGGATTCTCGGTTACACGCAAAATCCTTTTTCTCTGATCGTTAGAAGGTGTAGTCATAAATGCAAAAAACGTTTGGTTTTTTTTGTGACGCCTTGCTGATCATGAGACAGAAAACAGTGTGTGTGAACAGATCGCATGTCAGTCTCTGCTTCCTAATGTCACACTGAGCCTTTTCATCCATCAAAGTGGAGCTTTGCATCATAACAAGTCAATGTGCTGGCTGCAGTCTGAAAGCTTCCTGAGAGTCTCACAGGGTCAGTAGATGACTTATCTGGGTAACTTAAGCCTCGTGAATTATGTGATGACCCAAACGTAGCCCTGCTAACATGCACATTACTGACACATGTAATAAAGTAAAGGAAATGTGTGATAACCGCTATTTGCAAAAAGACTGCTTATATTATGTTCCATTTGTTGTAGCATTGCACAACAAATGCCTGGAAAGTTTGGACAATATAAGAATTATTTTATTATTTTTTTTTATTTCCAATGCAAAATCATCTAGATTGTACATAAAACTCAACCGCTCTCTGCGTGTGCCTGTTGAGTTTCCAGTCTACAATATAAACACCTTGAACTGATTGGATAGCAGCTGACCAATCAGAAGAGAGCTTGTTTTGCTGAACTCAGTTTGCAGCTGTGGGCTTAAGGTGCCCTGTTGACTATTTTAACTTTACATTGAGAGAAGCCAGAAAGAGCTAATATGCTCACCACTTAAAGTACCTAAGCAGTGGAGCTGCATTTACATCCACACTCACAAATGCACACGTTCATAGACTAATGCACAGATTGGCAGGCAATCTGGGTGCTGAGTGCCTTGCCCTGAGGCACTTTCTCATGTTGCAGAGGAGGAAACTGGAATCAAACCCACAATCTATTGGTTGCAAGAGGACTATTCCCACAATGGGCCACATTCATTTTTAAATAAAGAGCAAATTGTGCAGAGCTGACACTGAAGGGAAAAAATATATATTTTTGTGGGATTCTGTAGAAAAAAACAACAACTGGAAGATTAAACACCATAGCCAGAACCTCCACTAGAAACAAGTTACCTTTTATCACTCTTTTCAAATAAACAAAGGTTGTAAAAAGAAAATTTAATCCACCTAGAATTGTCATTTGTTTGCATTAAATTAATTTGCTAGTTTTAGCTATAGTTTTAAATGTTTTAAACTAAGTCAATTGGAGTTTAACATATAGCAAATCCTGGGAAAGTTGTATGTCGAGTACTGATGGATGTGGACAAACATTAACGAAAAAAAATAACTGAAGAGATCTCCAGTGTTCTGGTTATTGTAAAAGAGTCACATACCTGCACATACACAACATTAAAAACATTCAAAATTATTAATCCAAATCCTAATTTGGGCAAAACACTTTGACTGATATGTGAGATATGAGCTGTTAGGTTTTTACTTTGAGTTTACAAAGTAACCAGATATGTGGGAAAAAAAAAAAAAAAAAAAAATCCAGATTGTAGAATCTCTATTCACAATCCAACAAACTCTCCTCTGATTGGCCAGTTTGATTCATGTAGCCTAATTCCATCCATCCTTCCATTTTCTAACACCATTGTCCCTCAGTGGGGTTAGGAGGGGTGCTGGTGTCTATCTCCAGCTAACGTTCCGGGCGAGAGGCGGGGTACACCCTGGACAGGTTGCCAGTCTGTCGCAGGGCAACACAGAGACAGACATGGACAAACGACCATGCACACACACACACACACCTAGGGAGAATTTTGAGAGGCCAATTAAACTGACAGTCATGTTTTTGCTCTGTGGGAGGAAGCTGGAGTATCAGGAGAGAACCCATGCATGCACAGGGAGAACATGCAAATTCCATGCAGAAAGACCCCAGGCCAGGAATAGAACCCAGAACCTTCTTGCTGCAAGGCAACAGTGCTGCCAACTGTGCCACTGTGCAGCCCCCTGTAGCCTAGTTATTATTTTTTATTACATTGCATGGATTCATGTTAATGAAGGAAATCTGAAGTAATCTGGTCACTTTCTGTCTTTTGTCTTCCTGCTGTCAAAAAGTAGAAAATGTAAATCTAACCCGAAATAACTTCATATCCACGGTTTAACCCCTTTCACTTACCTTGACATCCTCATAGGCCTTTTCCACTGAGCAGACCTGGTGGTCGAGATGTTCTGCAGATTTGCACTGGTCCTCTAGCAGCAGACATCCACAGGTGCGACAGAACCAGTCCATGCCCTGCAGCTCAGCAGCCAGGCGGACCTTACTCTCCTCCTCTGCATCAATAATTTCATAATCTGCCTCATTGAGCTCGTCCTTCTCTACCTCCGTCTCCATCTTCTCCTCAGGTCTCTGATGGGACTCATCATCTTGTTCTGTCTGGTTCGCAGATTCAAGAATATGTTTTGCATCTTCCTCTCCGATCATTTCATATCCAAAGTCATCCAGCGCTTCTTCCTTACTTTCAACAACAACTGTGTCACTTTCCTCCTTAATTTGTTCTGCATCTTCACTGTGCAAATCAAGACATGGCTCTGCTTCCTCTTTAGGAAGGTTTATTTCTGGTTTGTCCTCCACCTCCCATCGGTCTGTTTTTTGTTCTGATTCTTCTGCATGTACATCATCTCCACGAAGCTCGGATAAATCCTCCTGAGGAGTGAAGCTTCTCAGCAGGGAGTAAGGGAGTTTGTCCTCTTGAGTCTCCAGCTCCTCAGTGCTGGCTTCTTCTGCAGGTGCAGGTGCTAAAGGCTTCAAGTCCAACTCATTACTGGAAAGTTCTTCTATTTCTGTGACTATTGGCTCTTCCTCGACTTGAGGCCTCGGTGCCTGAATTTCAGATGAGATGTCAGGTTCAGGAGTAGAAACCGTCTCTTTAATAATGTCCTCTGACCACTTATCAATCTGTATGTCCATCTCTACAGCCTGTCCTTTGGGAACAAGGAGGATTAACTCATCACCTATGTTCACTACGTCCTGCACACAGGTCTTTGAGTCTTCTCCAGACAATCTAGTTGTGGGTTCTGCTGTTTGTCGCAGGTTGTCTGATTCACAGTCAGTTGTGTTGTCTTGCTGCGTCTGGTGATGTTTGTTGGTTTCTTTGGGCTTTGCAGGTTGGGCTATTTCCCCTGAAGTCTCAGTTTCAACTCCTGACTCCAGATCAGCAGCTGCAGGCTTGCTCTGCTCAGAAGATTCCTCTGTTAGGGGCTTGAGATGATCTTCTGCCTCAGGAGCAAGCAGTATCGCCTCCATGACCTCCTGTACATCAGTCTTAACTTGGTTGTGGATCTCTTCGTCATTCATTGCTTTCTCCATCACCTCCTCCACTGTTTGTACTGCACAGTCGCAGTCAGTGATGACTCCTAGAGGGGCCGCATCTGCAGACACTGCTTCTTTGTCCTCATGCACAGGTACTTCAGAAGATGCCTTTGACTCTGTGAGGAGTTCAGTTGAGGCGAGTGCTGCGTCTCCAGTTTCTTTCACTTCAGCTGCTGCTACTTCAGGTGGGTATTTCTCATCAGCAGCCCCCGTTGTTGACTCAACAGGGGCTCCTTCTTCAAACGGGCTCCTTTCCCTGGTTTCTGTCAGTACAGTGGGTTCGGTGCTGGCCGGAGGATCCTCTCTGCTCTCAGGTAGAGTCGACGCTGTCGTGTCTGGTGTCACCTCAAACAGCCCAGACACGTTTTCAACCTCTATTTGTGGCTCACATGGCGGTTCTGTTTCAGAAAAACTTTGCTCAGTGACCGTCTCATCTCTGCCCTGTGAGATTTCATCTACTTTTGTTTCCATCTGAGGAGTTTCGATTGATTTTTCTGTGCTTGGCTCCACTACCTGTTCCTCTTGTTTACTCTCCTTCTGATCCACTGATTTAGTCTCCTGGCATGGCTCTTCTGGGATTTCCCCTAAACCTTCATCATGAAGTATCACTGATGATTGTTTTTCTTCTGTTTCTGTTTGATGTTCCTCTTTCTCTTTCAGTATTTCACTCCCCTCCTGTATCTTCACTTCATTGCTTTTTATAATTTCTGCCTCTTCTTCATCTTTTGCTGCTTTGATTAAGCATCCTGTCATTTCAAACTTACTTTGTGGCCACATCATCCTCCCCCCAGCCTTATCCTCTGATGACTCTGACTGAAGGTCCACCGCTGGTGTTTCATCTTTCAGCCTGAACTTCTCCAGGTACCCATCCGCCTCATCTGAATCTGACAGCCGCCTCTTGTAGGATTTCTCAGACGCCACACTCTCCGCCTCCGAGTACTCCTCGTCACTCCTTCTTTTCTCCCCCACAGCATCCTCGTAGAGGTCCGAGTACATGAAAGACATGGCAGTGGGCTCCTCCAGGAGAATGGGGTCAATGATCTTGGGGGGCCCCGGGGAGATAAAAATAGGAGTGAGAGTGGTCTCTTCACTTTCAAACAGCACCAAACCACCATCCACCATTGATCGCTGGCTCTCACGTCTTGATCTCATCCTTTCAATGCCTTCCTGCTTCTCCTTCAGTGCCTCTATGGGAGGTCCTTCTCCATAGAAGACCTCATCCAGGTGTTCCTCAACTATGTCAGCATCTGTGACAAACACAAAAGAGTCTTCGGACACAGAGGCACCATCCTCGGTTGCCTCCTTTAAGGTTTCCTGCTGCTCCGTTTGGGCTTTTGCAGGCGACTTCTCTTCCTCTTGCTGTAGCTGTGGAGCTTCCTCTCCAGGTATCCCCACATCCAAAAGGGTGAACTTTTCGATGTAGTCGATGTCAGCAGTGCTCTCTGTCTCTGATGTTGTGGATCCAAGCAGTTTGTCCGGCGATGGCTGCAAAGTTTCTTTTGAGGCCTATGGAGAGATTAAGACGACTCAAACACAGAAATACTTCCTCATGTTTAGATCCGCAGCATGAATAAAGCAAAGATAAAAATATCTCAGCTACTTACCTCAGCATGATCAGGTGTCTGCTCTGCTTCCAGCTGGTCCCTGTGATGTGCCCAGTCATGCTGGTTTCTGGACCTGATCTTCGGAGTCTGGTCTAGATAAGACAAATTATCCTGCAGGTCTGTAGTCTCCTCCTCATCCACAGTGGGAAGTTTGGACGGCACTCTGATGTTGAGAATCTCATATCCTTCAGATATCAAACTGAACAGCTGCTGATCTTTGGATTTTATCTCTTCCAAATCTTCCTCTGTTGGTGTTTTCTCCTCTTTGATGTTAGGGAGTGAAACCTCCGCCATCTCTGGTCTCTCTACTCCCAAAGCCGAAGCTGACCTTGAACTACCAGGTCGGCTTAACCGGTCTCCCAACCTGCTGCTTCTTGCCCCGGATCTCGTCCTCCTGCGGACCACTTTGTCCTCATCGAAGACAATGGTGATCTTCCCCGCACCTCCAGAACCTTCCATGCTGTAAGCCTCAGACGTGGAGCTCGCCTCAGATGCCCAGGGTGTAGAGCAACGGCTGGAGGCCGTCTCCCAAACGATACCGCTGTCCTCACTCTGAACTGTCACCATGGAAAAGGACGGGTCCACCATGAGGCACTGGAGTTTGGGCTTCACTGACTGGTCCTGGATGACTTCTCGCAGACTTGAAAAAGAGAAAAACGGACAGAGTCAGAGGCGGGAGAGCAGGCTGTTTGTGCCATTCAAGTGCAAGAGGAGATCTTTCTGGCTCTGCTCTTGGAAATCCGAGCAGAGAACAAACTAATGAATCAAATCAAAACACATTTGAGCAACACTGAGCTGGATTCATGTCTTGCAGCTTGACAAATATGAGGTGAAAACTAGGTAGCGCATAATTTTGCTTCTTAAGAGGATTACTCAAGCATTGTAGAGCTGCTGTGTTGGGTCAAATGTCCAGAGCCAGGCTGCCAAAGTGAGCGGTACTACAAAAATCCTGCACCCTGAGCTGTCCCCTGGGCTATGAATACACCTCGCCCCTTGCTGGGTTACGGTAAGGTGACGTCCACAAAACGTCATTCATGTAATGTTCGAGAAGAGATACCTGGCTTTCTCAGATACACCCAACAAGCCAATGTCTTCCACTATTTATGACAAGGCAAAGTCAGCTCAAAGCATGATAAATGAAAGGTGAAACACTGGGGTGAGTCGGTGTTGCTGACACTGGTGTTGTTACACATTACACAGTAATGTGTAACAAATTGAAAACACCAATGTCTCATCTGCAAAGATAGGAGAAACCTCTCAACACAAAAACTAAGTGACCTATTGGTGAGGTTTGTCAGCAAGTAAATACAGCTGAAAAAGTACCTGTTCTGGAGTTCTTCCACTTCGTCTTCATCATCCTGGCTGAGAGCTTCATCCTGAAACTCCTGCAGCTCAGTCATTTCAGAGTCCAGACTTTCAGATTCCTCCATTTTGGTAATTTTCTTTGGATCTCTTGCTTTAAGCCCTCCGAGGTTTGGTTTTTGTGTGTTTTAGACTAGAGTTATTCCGAATTGGGAGACAGAGGTCTGTCTGTTTGTGTCATTCAAAGTTGTGAGCTTCGTCTCTGACTCAGAGAGGGACAGAAATAGCGTGGGGTATGAGAACAGGGGAGTGTAGATAAGAGAGGGCCAAAGGAGACATAAAGAAAGGCTGTAATTAATTAGTTAATTAAGAAAAGCACACCTGCAGGTGGCTTGAAGGAGAGTCCCAGATTTTCAGATGGTAGAACAAGTCTTTTATGACGCTGCACCCTTGTGAGGTCCAGTGGCTCATGGCCAACAGAGGTAATGCAGCTTTAAATTCAAAACCCCCCGTTGGCCAAGTTATAAATAGCCTTTGTGCTGAAACTGTACCTCTGGTCCCTTGCTGCTGGTGAGATGGGGTACTTCTCAAAAGCAGACACATGTTTTGTAACATATCTGCCACCTAGCATAGCTGGCACTATGCTGGAGCCATAAAATTAGGTTTAATAAGCTGTCAAACCACCGTAAGTAGAAACAATCAGCTAACTGCCTGAACTAACTCGACAGATGATGACTCATAAGATTGCCTTTCCTCAGACACACAGCACCATGCAAAAGTATTCATAACCCTTTAAATTTGTCACCTTTTGTCAAGTTACAGTGAAAAACTTTGATGCATTTTAATGGAGTTGAGACCAGTTGATATTTATCAAGCTCGCCAAGAGAGCGTCTACAACTTCTCCAGGATATTACAAAAGAACTTAAAACAATATCTAAAGCACCTCTGGCCTCAATTAAGATCAGCATTGATGTGTTCTACAGCCAAAACCAATGGTGATCAAAGAGAACATAAAGGTTCATCTCAAATTTATATTCAAATATTCAAACATGACTGACTGGTAGCAGATGGAGCCATGGACTTGGTTCCTCAAAAGAAAAACCTGAAGGATCAGCATCAGCTTGTGACCGTTGGCTTATCTACATGTTTTGATCGCCTGTCAAGTTCCCTACTGTGGACAATAAAGGGTAATATTCTACCCTATAAGACTTATTGAGACTCATTGAGAGTTATCACAACTGCTAGATTGGGGAGATTTGTATACTTAAACAAAAATACTCATTTAAAACTGTTTTGTGCATCTACTGTGTTATCTGTCAGATATTAACATGTATTTAATGATCTAAAATGTTTGTTGCCAAAAACTTAAAAAATAAATTTTCATGGCACTTTGTAGGCTAGCTTAGCTGCAATGTTTCCATTAAATTACCTGTTTAAGGTGGGTCATTATCAAATTATATCTATAAATATCTATATGTCGTGTGTTTAGTAGCCTGGTTTTGTTAAGATGTCCCCATGTAGTCTGGAGCTGTGGTTGAGAAGATAAAAAAATCACTTTTTCTTATCACTGTAATGATATATATATTTTTTATTTTGACTTTATACAGTCATCCCATTTTGTGGAAACCAGATTGAGCAACTTTGCATCAGCATCTATCTAGTTGGTGAAATACACAAAGGTATCAAATTGATTTTTGGCACTTCTACTAACATAGTTATAGTTTATACAAAACAAACTAATTTATATGTCCTGGGAGATTTTTTTTTTTTTTTTTTTTTTAAATAAACAATAAAATTCCACAAAACACAAATGCGCTTTTGCTCCCCGGAAAAATGGAAATCAAAAGCAATAACAAAATCAAACAGCAAGAAATATTTATATTCAAATTCTTTAAAATGTAAACTGGTGTGTTTGTCCCAAAAAATCTAGAAAGTATCTGAGACTCAAACCCTTGACGACAGCTGGAAGAGAAAGACACACACGAGGAGCCACAACCTTAAGAACCGTAAAATCCAGAACAGTTTCGATGATGAGCACTTTGTGGTCGTTTTACCTCAAACATCACAGAAGAGCTCAGGAGAAAACGCAGGGCATCATTAACTTATAGCAGGAAAAACACAACAATGTCGACGTTGGCTTATAAAAATAGAAAACAGGCTTCGACATCACCAAGTTATAGAAATCGTCGGCATAACGCAGATTCAAATAATTGTACTCAGAAGGATGACGCTGAGAACTGCTGCAAAAACAGGATAAGCTCAGAAGAGAAGACAACGTTAAACCTTCCACTTAAGCCCTTCTTACATGAGAGAAAATATCATTTCCATCCAGGAAACCAAAAAAATAGCAGCTGTATATATATATATAAAAAAAAACGGTTATCTTGCTCTGATTCTCCATTTTTAGCAACTGGACGTTGCCTTCATGTGTTCTGGTTTACCTTCACTCGATGTTTAGTGTCTTTTTGCTGTGATAACAGTAGCATCAGAAACTGCACAAACGTGGCGGCAAAAACATTCAACCGTTAAAACCATTCAGTCCTCCTCTCTCTGAGTCTGCGCTGCTGAAACTTTCCTCTGTACAACACCGATGTTTTTCATCGAAAGGCCAGTCAGCTCATCTCCTCGCCAACTCCTCGTTGATGATGGCTCTCAACGCCAGGATGGAGGCCAGGTCCTTCCTCTCGTTCAGCATCTGGTACGACTGAGCAGACAGAGAGAAGGAGAGAGAGAGAGGAGAGATAGATCAGGAATGTGGTTAAGAACAGAGAACAATTTAAGGAGTCCTGATTAATGTTATCTACCTCAGAAAAGCACTTTTTAATGGCATCAAACTTAATCTTTTCATGGACGGCTCTGGCAACATTACTCCCCTCGAATGGCTCTGAAACAGACAGATTTACTGTTCATATATATATATATATATATATATATATATATATAAAACAGATGTCGTAGTGATGCTTCTGTAGACACATGTTGGGTTCTTTGCAATGTTTCTAATCTGGGTCACTTTGTTTATGTTGAGTCAGCTCTGACTGGTGATCTGCAGATCTAAATACTAAATAGTTAGATTTTTTTTTTTATTCATAAATGCATGGTAACTAAAATGTCATACTACAGTTTAATGCACTTTAATAAGAAAAAAATCTAATAATGTTCAGAGACAAAAGTCTCATGCATAAATGTTGACAAATCTGTCTTTGCTTTATTTGACTATTTATTAAAGTACAGGTTTATTCCAATAAATCATCATCTAAAGGTTCCTTTATTCCAGTCAGTGCAAACTACTTTCAGGTTACAGCTAAGGCATAACAAATGTTTTTCCTCCACATAATTTTCTATTAATTTGCTTAGATACTACATTATAAAACAGCCATTTTATGCAATGACATGTTGTGACTCGCTCTTCGTCACAACGATCAAGTCACTAGTCTTCCTCGTGATTGTTTAGGCCATAATTTAAGATTTCTGTATCAGAAAGTCCTTTATTTGCTCAAATGTTATCCAGTAATTTCCTCAGAAACTAAATTTTGGGTTTTCTTTACCTATAAAGATGAAACCACCAAAGTTAACAGGAGATTCTGTGTCAGATAAATGTGGATAAAACAAAAGATTTTTACTTTTTGAAACAAAGTACTGGAATGAAATTTACTTTTTGATGTTATTCTAATTGAAATGTTGAACTTTTAAATAATTAAACAAACAGAAAATTGACAAAGAACATTTCTGGAGTTCAGTTCTGTCTGGATACCTACGAGGTCTAGAGATTTTTGGATTTAGTTGCATTTTTAGCCTGCAAAGCATCAGAAATAAAATGTCGGGTTTGAAATTCATCTCTAGTCGTGATGCCCGCAGCTCGGCACGGCCATGTAAACGTTTACCTTCCACACATATGAATTTGTTTCTCCACTCTTTAGAGTTGGTCTTGGGCAAAATTGTGGCCTGGCGCACAGAGATCACCTGCTTGTCCCAACTGCAACACATCAAATCACAACATGGCTGCTGTTAGAGCCGATCTGGCACCGAGGCAACGGTCGTCATCATTCAGCATCGGTTAGCGGACTATGAGGTCTGCAGACGGTCAAACTCTCCAGGTTCACATTAGCTTCTTTCAACTGCATAAAAATTAAAAAGGTGCCATGCGCCTCACTTCATCTTCTGTTTCAGCAGAATGATCTCGCACTGAAAAGGTTTGAAAATCCAACCTTCAAATGGAGTAAATTTGCTCATTAGGGAAAACAAATGACATTAAGAAAGAAATGTATTTTTTCCCCCCCACAAAATAAATGTTATTGAACCATTTTGTTAAATTTTGCCTAAACGTTGAACTGATCAGGGTTTCTAGGGACTCCATAACCTAATGTGTGAATATGAAAGGACAAAGAGGTCTTTCTTCTTTAAACCACTCTTAAAGGTTGGAAAGAAAAGGGAATGTGCCGTTCAAGTCAGGAAAATGTGTGTTGACGTCTATAAGTCAGGAAATGGGTATGGAAAATATATACTCAATTAATTAAAAAGCTTAAAATAACCTAAACTGTGACAAACAAGGCCAGGTTAGGACTGAAGTATGTGGAAAAAAATGATTTTTAAAAAAATAAAAAATTCCCATTGCCCACTGTTAGAAAAGTGAGGCAAAGACTCGTTGTTCACATGCCAAACACTTGATTGCAAGCCTGCAAAACTTTACCGGCACTTTAACTCGAGCTGTGTGCTTTGGTCAAATGAGAATAAAACTGATCAAAACAAATGACCAAATCAGCAGAAACAAAATGAACCTTCTCTAATGAGCATCCTAGTCCCTACAGCTCAGACCTAAATCCTGTAGAAAGCTGACGAACAGAAAACAGAAGAAACGATGCAGGACTGGTTGATCTGGAGAGAAGTTAAAGGAAAAGATCAAGTACCATCCTGCAGGTAACAGAGGGTGTGTGAAGTACTAACATCAACGCTACTGATGTAAAAACGAATAAATTTTTTTAGCACTGGGTCTTTACGCAAAACAACGAATGCTCTCAAATTTAAGGAGGATTTTCTAAATCTTTCAGTATGAACGTTTATTTAAAGGTTGCTATTTATGTACGTCTTTAACAGAGGTTACAGTAAATTGTTATATTTGTTGTTCTGATCCTGTACAAACACCAATCAATGTGTGGTCATGCAGCAGGTTTTTAGTTCAACTTTTCAAACCTGGCTTGGCACATTCTGCAAATACACGGATCGTCTATGTCATGTTGGTGCTGTATAAGGCCAAAGGTCCCACCTGCTGCTGCCCCTCAGCCAGAAACATAAAACCAGAGAGGAGGATGCAGGAAGATGAGGACAGACGGAAGAGTCGAGAGGGGAGGAGAAAGTTGGCAGGGAGAGATGAAGAACGAGATGAGGAACGGGAGCGAGAAAATGAGCACGGGGTCCATGAGCCTCACTTCAGCTCCGATACCTGAACCGCGTGGCGTAGTATCTGAGGAAGCCCAGCAGCAGCTCGCCCAGAGACGACTGGTTTGTTGAGGTATAGGGCCGGACGTGTCTGGGTCCGTCTGGAACCTCGTCTATGTCCATGAGCGGATCAAAACACTCCTGAAAAAAATCAGGACGCAGGACAAGAGGGTCACAGCTAAAACCTAGACATAACCCGCTTATGTAAATACATCGACATGACTTAATTTGAGTTTACTAGACTCAAGAGCTGACAAATACGCACTTCAAACTTACAGGGTGAGTCTTTTGAAAAGATGGGAGGACAGGTTGTTCAAGAGCTGGTAAGAAAACAAGACGTTGTAGAAGTTAAAGCGGGCCTTTTGTCTGAAAGGACAAAGCAAACGCCGGCTTTTTCTGCATGTGCGGCTTCACTGACTCTGGAGATAGTGAAGGACCATCAACACCAGCGTGTAGCTGCTCAGCGTCCCTTTGCTGGCGTCGTTGATCTGGTGGTGCCGCGCCCACTTCTTCACGACCAGGATCAGGGGCCTAACCCGGACGTCGGCTGAAGGAGTCAACGCGGACACAGTTAGCCAAGCGACGCTTTCCCAGTCACAAAAGGCACGGCTGACCACTTCACCCACCGTAAGCGTAGGTTCTCAGCAGGAATGTGTTTCTGATGCCCACCGTGTTGTTCACATTCAGGTCGAACTCCAGAAAACTAACGTGGGGAGGATTAGGATGGACATAAGCTCATTCAGGATCAAAGTGTGACGCAAACACGAGCAAGTAACTTACGCCTCCTACCTGCCTCTCTCTTTGAACTTGAGGATGGGAACTTTAGCTTTAATCAGCTGAATCCTCACCAAATACGCTGCACGTCAAAACAGAGATCACGAGACTTACAGATGTGAGAACCTCAAAGTACTTGAAACTTTAAACTAGGTGAACAGCTCCTCCTAGTGATCTTTAAAATATCTCACCTATCAGTTCAAAACATTAATCAGTTCAAAGTATCAGAGAAGAAGGATAGTGAATATAAAAGTGGAGACATTTCATATTTTATTTGTGAAACATTTTGAATTCCACAGCAGATCCACTCAATACTTTATGGTCAATATCACATAAGGTCTTGAGAACGTAACCTTACAAAATGTGGAAAAAGTTCAAGTGGGGGGTAAATATTTTGGTAAGGCGCTGAAGAAATACAGTAGGTAATGTAAAATTAAAAGATTGCAGAAGAAAGACAAGATGGTTTTAGAACAAAATGTAAAATTATATTGCCTTACAGAGAGACCTGAAATCCCTTTGGAGTTGACAAAGGACATCCATTGGATGGGGGCGTCTCTGAAACAGGAAATGATTTGTCATTTGGATCAAAACAAACAACGTAAGGTTGATGCAAACGTACATTTCCCGTGACCACAAGACAGAGGTCGGCATCGCTGCTCCGGCAACCCAGTCCACTCATCGAAGATCCGGTCAGGTACAACCGCGACTCTGACAAAAACACAATTAATGAAAAAAAAAAAAGACAACGACAAAGTACGAGGAAGACTATTAAATCCATTTGAACCAAACCTGGGAATTGTTTCTGGATGTCAACTTGTAGCCGAGCTCGACACGCCTCCTTCCTGTCCAGATCTGAAATTTGTTGCTGGCAGGCCTCAAACAGGTCCACCATCTGACCGCTCAGCTGGACGCACAAACACATTCGACATTAACCGAGACTAATCATTTCTCAACGGAAACACCTCCAGACTTTACAAAGGTCAGGTCTACCTTGTCCTTGACGAAGACCCGAAGGCTCGTTAGGTTTTGTGGTTCGGTGAGCACCTCTGTGTTCGGAGGTCTGGAATGAAAGCGTTCAGACCCCACTGGGGCGAACGTTGAGGGCTCTCCCACTGCCAGGTTACTATGAGGAATCCATGTTGGAGAGGAGGTCGGAGACGGGTTGAGGCGTTGGCGTTTGACAGCACGAGCACTGTGCTCGTTATAGTGCCTCCTGCAAGAAGCAGAGGTCAGCATGGGCAGAGGTCATTCACTTCTAAACGAATGATACTTACTTGCGCCCGTGGTTTACACCGGCTGGGGGTGGAGGTAAGGCTGCAAAGACGGGCGTTGCAGGCTGCCATGTATAAGGAGGCAACTCCACTATGTTGAGAACATTAAAGCTGAAAAAAAAGAGAATGGATAAATTATTATTCAGAGCATAAAATATCAAACAAAATAACTGTACATGTGAGGGGTTAGTGAAAGTGTCACTTTTTTTGTTTGTTTTTGGCTCTGTGGTGCAAAACAAGACAGACAGTGAATCACATCCATATTTGGATGTGTGTGCTAGTAAAGACCCCTGGTTGAAGATTGTGCACAAGTGATGGGTAAACATACGACGCCAAATATGGGAAGCTATCTGTTTGCCATCTGTAACCTATAAAGAAACACACTGTAGGAAATGGGAAATCGATTGGATAACTTAGACAACAGTGGGAAAACAATTGTACTCTGAACCTGTTCAGCGTTTCCCTACGTTGGGCTCACCTGTTAGCAGCTTCAGGTTCTCCGTGTTGGTAGTCAAAATACCAGGGGGCTCGTGGCGGAGGGTACGGCGTATTACTGGAGGCTCCCCGCCGCGAAAGAATCTTGTTGCGGTGAAACATGCCGACGAACTCCACTGAGCTCCAACATCAACTTTGCTGAAGTTTTAGAGAGAACACACAAAACAACCAACGGAATCAACTGAGGCTGAGGAAAAGCCCGAACATGTCTAATTGTAGTCAACTCTGAGAAAGCAAAAAGATATGATACCTAGGAAACCGAAACTCGCCCTGCCTGTGTTTGTGAAGCTAACTGGCCTCTGAAAGAAAGAAAGAAAAACTGAATGAGATGTAGGAGAGGAGTGCATCAAAGCTAATCTGTCACTAAATGTTTAAAAACATTTAGTTTTCCACACTCATACTTCCTGTAACACTTACCTGTAACACTTAAGTCCAGATCACATGTAAACAAATCTAACCTGCTGAAGAACTTCCGCGTTCATCTGATGACGTAACTGAAATAGATTTAAAGGAGACGTGTGTTTATTTTAATTGAAAAAATGTACCTGAAAACTAAGCTGAAAGGGGGTAAACAGGGATTGAGATTAGAAATGCATCTCCAATAAAATGCGCTCAGGAGTCAGAAATATTCTTCTAATCAGATCATGAGAGATCAGCCATTGGCCAGCTATGTTTCTGTAATTGGCCTGCTTTTTTATTTATTTATTTTAACTTCTGCTTCTATAAATATGTGGCTTTTAACATTATTTTCTAGAGATGTTGAGCAGCTTAATATTTTATTATTTTTTTAAATTTTTTTTATTATGTTTATTTTTATTTTTTGCATTAACTTGATAATTACTGGTAATTTTAATGACTGTACAATATTATGTATTTTTATTACTGACAAATTTGGTCTTAATGTAAAATCTGTTATTTTTAACAGTATTTCTGTTACATATACCATGCAATTCTTTATTGCATGGTATACGCAATACATAATTTTAAAGAAATAACAAACAAAAAGGCTTGGTGTTGGACAAATTCATTCTAAAGCAGCACCAGAATATGGGGATCCTTTATTTTCCTTATGGCCAGACATTTAACAAACATGGAGTGATTATTATGTGCCTGGTTTATCTCAAAGCTCCTTGTAATTATTTTATACGCCAAAAGTTTTGATTTTATTGCAGACATCCAGTGGAATTTCCTTATTAATATCCAGCCAACATTTACTCAAAGGACCAAGAAAGGCTGAAATATTAGAAATAAAAAGTACGTAAGTACTACATAATCCGTACTCTGATTGGTTATCGTTGTTGACCCTTTCCAAGTTGGGACAGAAAGTTAGTGGAAGTGGTCAAAGTAACCTGCAGCCTGTGTGCCCCAGTTTACTACCGCTAATATAAATAAGCAGAATCCTTTTAACGCACATCCTTACAGGACTGTCTGTACACCCTTTAACATATTGCTTGCAGTGTTAGACAGGTATTCTGAAAATATACAAATCAGTTTGATTTGCATGTGGGCCGTAAATCAGATAAGTTCAGTAAAATCACCACGGCTGCTATCAGCTTATCTCTCCTCCATTGCAATGAACAGAAGATCCAGTTTTAAATCTCCTCCCTCCCAGACTTCAGAAAGTTATTCCACTGAAAAGCTCATCAGACGTCCTGGACATGATTAATAATTGTTTTTTCTTTACCAGCTCAATAAAGAGGAGATTGATATTGACCACAGAAAGTACATTCAATTTCCAAAATTATGTGTTAAACCATGAGATTATTGGTGACCCAGAAGAAAAAGGATGTTTTATGCTTGATCATTTAACAGATAAATTAGGTATTGTGATGATATAAAGGCACATGTTTTTTGTTGTTGTTTTTTGCCTTTATTATAATAATGTGATTGCTTCAGACAGTCACAAACTGTATCTAAAATAAATATTTATTTGCAACTAACATGGCCACTTCTTCCTGAGTCTATTCTGTATGTGCTGAGAAAGTGTCCTGAGTTTTACAAACAAACAAAGAAATGCTTTTAGCTGATTTAAAACCCATAAAGACTGATCATCTCTCTGCGCTGGAAGATAAAAAAAAAAAATGAGCAAAACACAAGCCTGGAGTGATGTTAGTCTCTCGGACCACACTACTGCCTTCTCGGTCGTGTTGTTCTGTATTTTTCATTCTCCCTGACAGCCCCAGTGAGCCCATTTCACCTCGACAAACTTATTTTAAACAACAAAAAGCATCGAATGGCATCAGTCCCTTGAGCACGGAGAAACGTCACTGCGGAGGATGGTGTGGTGACGTCGGCAGTGGGAGGGAAGCGGATGCATCACCCAGATGTGGGGGTTTTTTTTTTTTTTTTGGGAGGGGGGTGCAATTAGGGCTCTGTGGATTGTTGGGGCTTGGATCAATAACACACTGCAGGAGAAATTAACACGGGCTTCTGTTGGACTTTGCACTCGTGTTCCAGTGGAAGGTGGGGAAAGCGTGAACTGATGTTGCAGAGACATCGGGAGGCAACTTTAAAAGGAAACGCTAATAACGCGTGCGTGAAGTAGCTGCGGCGTGAACGCGCAGGAGTGGGGGTGTAGCCTGCCAGTCTGTGGTAATAGGCTGCGAGGGAGAGAGTGAGTGAGTGAGAGTGGGGGCAGACGTGGACGGTGATGCTGCGCGCTGTCTTCTTGCCTAAATGAGGATCGTCTTTTCCCAGTTTGAGCAGCAGCAGGGCTTCTCCACCCTTCCAGCGAGGATCTGTAATTTACACAGCAACAGCGGGGCGTCCGTGGGATCTTCTCCATCATCATCATCATCAGCAGCAACAGCAGCAGCAGCAGCGACAACAGCAGCAGCAGCATCTGCGCTGGATCCAGCCCCGCGCTGCCGCTTGTTCTGCTGCTGCTCCATCACCAGGCGACTAGAGGAGAACATCTGACCAGCGGGCCATGTGCACCACGACATGTATGCGTGAATTCATGCGGTGACACAGGAAGGGGGGAATGGAGCAGCTGTCAATGCATTCCTGTAGACGCACCGACGGTGATTCGTTGCAGACTGTCGTGTAGAGAGAGAGAGAGATAGTGGGGAAAAAAAAAAAAAAAAAAAACCTTCATACGCAGCAGCCCATCCAGCACATTCGCTTTTTTATTCCAGCGAGAAGCGATCAGTGGTCAGGTGTCGCCTTTCATTTCAACCACAACAATGGGGTAAGTGTGGATAATATACAACCTTATACAAGCTGCGTTCATTTACCTGTTTTTTTTTTATTATTATTATTATTTATTTATTTTAATACATGTTCAGCCTTTGGCATGGATACCTCTAAAGGCACAAATGGACTGGACCTTTATGTGCTTCAAAAATGTAATTTTTCTTTAACATTTCCTGGACAGCTTTGGGTGGATGTATTTTTGATATGGAAGACAGGAGTGTGGCATCACTTTCAGGCCTCTGATGTGATACTAAAAAACTCCAAATTAATTGGAAAAGGAGACAAAATACACGATAATTCTGTAAAATACAAAATAAATATATAAATGAAGTTCAGTGTTGGGGTAGTAGTTCACCATCAAACTTTTATGATTACTTGGCTGACTCTTGACCAGTGCTCATAGCTGGAGTTCCTCATAAAAATGAAGCACAGTTTATTCTTTCTTATAGCTCTGTAAAAATATTTTCTGGCGTTTCTTCCCCTCACTAATCCATAGTGACAGGCATACAAAAACGACAAAGTACAATAAAGATAAAAAAAAAAATCCGGTAAAAGATTTTATAAAATACTATTAAAACAAAAATTGACTGAAAATAAACAAACTTTGTGCATTTTTGTAGACCAGGGTCAGTGACATCACTGGAAGTGACGCAGCACTTCTGCTATGAAGGGTTAATGAAAGGAATCTCCCCAAAGCATTTTGCTCTGATCACAACTTGGTTCAAAATGATCCCTGAAGATCTTTGACAATATGATCTGGCTATTTTGGTTTGTCCTTGTCCTCCTCTCAAACTGTTTCACTGTTGGAAGATGTTCTCTGATCTGAGTTGAATGTTTTCCTGCAGCCAAAAAGGACACGACAAGTAAACATCTTTGAAAGAGGAAGCTGATTAAAACATAACAAAGAAGAAAAAAAAGATACAAGTTGATGTTCTGAAAAGGATTCTGATGTGTTGCCTTATGTGATGTCATCAGAGTCATGTGACTCCGATGACATATCTGCAAGGGTCGATTTTTACCTTGATTAAATATCAGTGTACAGCAAAATAAAAATAAAAAAATAACCATGACATGTTGCCCAGTGGGTGACAAGCTGCATCTAAAGCAGGTTTTGATTGATTTTTGAAAAAGCTCCGGCTAGCAGCTTTAATTCTGTATATCTGCTTGGAAACTGGAATGATGCACAATTATTTCTACACTGTTATGTAACCGAGCACACATCTACGTACCGGCATCCTTGCTCTGTTCTATTCTCACTCGGAGATGGTTCAGATACGAGCTGTACATCCTGTTCCTTACTCTTGCTCGTCTGCGTGGAGAAGAGCATAATGTCAGCAGCAGAGGAATGTCAGCTGAAGCTCCTGAGCTGCACTCTGCGCTGACAGAAAGCCGCTTTCTGTCTCTATGGCAGCACAAGCGGCCGCCGCACACCCCCTCGTCCCCCCGTCCGCCTCCCCCAACCGCAGGCGCCCATAAGTGAATCAGCTGTGAGCCTCACACATGCAGGGAGCACAGAGAGGGCTGCTCATTTGCATGTCCCCCTAACCCCGAGCTCAGCGGTCCGTTTCCTCCACCCAGCCTGCCGTTCATTAACAGCTGTCTCTTGCTCTTCCTTGTGATTAATTACACAGCAGGAGGTTAATAATAATGTGGCACGGCCACAGAGCGATTTCTAGATGTCAGCCAAAACTCCTGCATTAACTATTTACAATACATTGGAGAGCCAGCCCCTCCTATTCCCCTCATCACCCCCCACCCCCGGTCGCCCACGCTGTCCTCCTACGGTGTGGGCAGCGCATCGTTCAGCCGTGTCCCACTCAGCTCCAGCTCTCCACTGGGTCCTGCCATGCTGGTGACTAACTTGCTGTTATGCAACAGACTCAATGACTCAATTGATCCACAGTGGAATTTATTGTTAACTGAATCCAAAGCGCTAAGCTGCTGCCAGCCTGTGTGTTTTAGTATAACTTGCAAAAGCATTTCAACTTCTCCATATTTGACCCACAAACGTCAAATGTCCTGTCACATAAAGTGAAATACATCGAAGGGGGGGAGTTGTCTAGCATGAGAAAATATGAAAAAGTCGGATTGAAAAACTTCAGCAAAGCGCCGCATACATGCAGAGGAGCAGATTAGATTAACACACATAGCTGCGGCTCAGTTCCCTGGATGCCTGACTGGTAATAATGGCAGATAGAGTCATATTTCACTTCCAGACCCGTGGCTCAACACGAAGCCTGTTGGAGCTCTGATAATGGCAGGGAGGGAAACTGCGGTGCAGGACATGCTGGAGGTGATCCCTATCAACACTTCTGTTTGCAAATGCAATCAGACCACGAAGCGGTAATCCGGCCATTCCCTGCCGGTGAAGCAACAGAAAGCGTCTCTTTAATAACCTCAGTGCACCTTAAATAAGGACTGCTTTATTAAAACTTTGGAAATACGCGGTAAAGAGGGCAGCTTCTTAGTGGTGAGGGAAGGAGAAAAGGGAAAGTGGAAAGTGAGAGTCAAGTAAGTGTTTCACGTTACAATTTGTTGGAAAAGAGGGCCAGCTGCATGGTAAAAGAGGACACACTGAGGGAGAAATAAAGCACAGCATTCTGAGGTACAACAGGAGCCATGTGTGTGCAATCTGTTTGGTTTCATGCTGTGAGTCACATCTGTGCATCAAACCCCTGATGCACAATAGGTACCACAGGCAGCACCTGTTGTCAGAACAGAGCTGCACGTGTGTGCGTTTGCAACTGTGGGTGTTTGTGTGTGTGTGTGTGTGTGTGTGTGTGTGTGTGTGTGTGTGTGTGTGTGT